GTGTGTGTGTGTGTGTGTGTGTGTGTGTGTGTGTGTGTATGTGTGTACTACACAGAATGGAGTCCAAATTAGAGAAAGTGAGGAAAATAGTTCTTTCATATAGCTATATATGACATTTTTGGAAAGAATATTAAAAGGTTATCTGTGAGCCAGGCATGGTGGCTCACACCTGTAATCCAAGCACTCAGGAAGCTGAGGCAGGAGGATCGCTGTGAGTTCGAGACCAGCCTGGGCTACATAGTGAGTTCCAGGTCAGTCTCAACTACATAGTGAGACCCTGTCTCACCCCCCACCCCCCAAGAAAAGGTTATCTCTGATGGGCAGGACTAGAAATAGGGAGAGAGACTTAGTTTTAACTTTAGATTCTTAGACAATAACATTTGATTTTTCTTTTTTTTTTTCCTTTTGAGAGGGCCTCACTGCAGTTCAGGCTGGTCTCGAACTCAGGGTGCTGCTCCTTCCGTTTTGTCCTGCGTACTGAGACTACAGGTGTGCGCCACCATGCCCAGCACAAATATTTGATTTCTTAATGAGAATGGATTCTTTTTAGAAGAAAAGGCTTTGTGAATGGTATTACGGAGTTTCCATTTGACTGGCAGAGAAGTGGGCTTTCAGAGATGCAATTATTTATTTATCTATCTATTTATTTTTGTGCCAGGGATCGAACTCGGAATCTTGTGCTTTTGAGGCAGGTGGCGGCACCACTGAGTTAAATCCCCAGCCCTAGAAATGCGATTTTGAGTCTCTTGGAATGGAGCTGATGACAGACTCCCTAGAGTGTCTGTGCTAAGTTCATCTTGTTTCCCGCAGAGGTATGAAAGTTATTGAAAACCGGGCCCTAAAAGATGAAGAAAAGATGGAACTCCAGGAAATCCAACTCAAAGAAGCGAAACATATTGCGGAAGAGGCAGATAGGAAGTATGAAGAGGTAAGCCTCCTTTTGTTTGTCCTGTCGGTGGCATCAGGCCTCAGCTGTTACAGGCCCCTTCCTATCTGAGGTGCACCTGGTGTTTTCCTGTAGGTGGCTCGTAAGTTGGTGATTATTGAAGGAGACTTGGAACGCACAGAGGAACGAGCTGAGCTGGCAGAGTCGTGAGTATTTTGCTCCCCAAATCTTGTCAGGCATTTCTGTCCCTTTCCCTTCGGCTTGGTCACTAATATGAATGAACTACCATTCCTTCAACCTTGTTAAACAGGGCCTGGCAGTGGGAGTCACCTGTAGTGCTTCTTGGAGTTCTAAGAATTGGTTAACTAGTAACCGATGACAAATGAGGCTTGCTGTCTCCTTTTGGGATGGTTTACAGACTGAGGGAATGTAAAGATGAAAAGACGGTGAGCAGGTTACTAGAAGGGCCCTGCTGGGTGCTTTTTCTCCTTGAGGCACGGAAGCGCCTTTACTTGCTTGAGATTTGGTCAGTATTTACCGCATCGCCAGTCTGCTGGGCAACTTCGGGAAGAACAGGCCTTAACTGCTCCCTGGCCTGGCCTTGTGTAACAAAGTGACCGCTGATGCATACACGTTTGTGCTTCCCTTCCATTCCCCTCCCCTGAACATGACATCCCATGACCATAACGGTGTTTTCTTCCCATTTAAAAATTTTTCCCATTATGCTGCTTGTCTCCTTGCTGTGTTCCTTTTTGACCTTTCTCCCTCCCCACAACCTGGCCTGTGCCATCCCCATGCCTGTCACTAACAGCCGTTGCCGGGAGATGGATGAGCAGATCAGACTGATGGACCAGAACCTGAAGTGTCTGAGTGCTGCCGAAGAAAAGGTACTGAACTTAGCCTGCAGGAGGTTCCTGTGTGGTGCGCTTTTGTTCGGTTTCCTCTCGTGCGGCTGCCTCCCTCCACCAGGTGTCTGTCCGTGCTCTCTCGTCTCCTCATGGAATGCTCCACTCTCCACTACTTGCTCTTCTCACGTCTCCTTCCTAGTCGTTTCCCTGCCTCTCCTCAGGCTCTCTCCTTCTTCCCCTGGGTGGTTCGGGGCGGTTGGGTTGAGCTTTCCTTCCCTCTCCACCCCAGGTAGCGGTCAGGACTTCCACCACACCGGGGAGCGGTTTCTCTCAAGTGCCCTTTCTTCGTCAGCATCCAGACCTTGGAGCCCGAGCTCCTGGCTCAGGACGCATTCCCTGTAGAGGGAGGAGGGTGGATGCCTGCTCAGGTTACCTAGGGCCTTCTCTTCCCCGGTGTGCTTCCAGCTCCACATACAGGTTTCAATTCACCTCTGTGTGTCTCTCTCCCTTTTTTTATTCTCTTCCTCTTCCCCTTTCCTCTTCTGCGGTATTTAAAATGTTCACAGTAAGTGTTCTGAGCTGGAGGAGGAGCTGAAGAATGTCACCAACAACCTCAAGTCTCTTGAGGCTCAGGCGGAGAAGGTAGGGGCTGGTTTGTGAAGGTTGGCAGGCTTTGGGCCTGGGCCCAGCCCGGCCCTTGAGGAGAGGCTGGAGGCACGACCCCGGAGTGCAGTGAGGATGTCCTCTTCCTCCTTGCTCACTCCCTGTCCATCCAGATTTCGGGGTGAATGCTAATCCCTGTGTACTCTGATTGCCTTTGTTAAATGGCTGCGTGGTCTCAAGTGCCTGGAGTAATGCTCCTTGGCTGATAGTGCTGTGCTGTGCCCTAACAGACCCTAGCAAACAGATGGAGCCATCAGATGTCTGCTCTGAGGCCCAAGGAGCATCAGAACAAATGACTTCTCTGAACCATTAGAGGGAATGTTTAAGTGCTATGGGTGTGGGATGTCACTATCCCTGCTCAGTAAGCAGGAGAAAGGAAAAATGCCTTAGGTTGATAAGAATAACATCAACCTTTAGGTCCATTTTTGAAATAAAGGTTCTGGAGCTGGGTGTGGTGGCATATGCCTGCAGTCCCAGCACCCAGGAGGCTGAGGCAGGAGGATCACTGCAAGTTCAACACCAGCCTGGGCTACATAGTGAGACCTTATCTCAAAAACAACAAAAAGTGTTTTGGAGGAGTCTGTCTGTCCTGGGAGCATGAGGGTTCTAAACAAATAGATGGATTGGGGACCTGTTGTACACATGTGGAACTTGCTCTTAGCCTTTGGATCACTCAGTGCATTAAATCCAAGAGGACATCCAGTGTGAGAGGGAACACAGGCAGGGCATGTTGTCTGTGGGACTGCTTTCTACTCTGAAAGTTTTATTCTACTTCTCTTACAGTACTCCCAGAAAGAAGACAAATACGAGGAAGAAATAAAGATTCTTACTGATAAACTCAAGGAGGTGAGCTGAGGGGATTATAGGAAGGGGCCTACTCCCTGAGAGGCATATAAGGCATTCAGGTAGTCTTAGACTCTCTGGCTTTGGTTCTGAGAGGTCTAGAAGTAGGAAGGGGAAGAGAGACCCTTTTCTTCTGTGTCTCCCTTCATTTTGACTGACTTTGTGTTTACCCCAGGCGGAGACTCGTGCTGAGTTTGCTGAGAGATCAGTAGCCAAACTGGAAAAGACAATTGATGACTTGGAAGGTACGGAGCCTGATAGAGGGGTTCAGATTGAGAAGTATATGCCCATGGACCATGATCCCTCTTTCCTGTGCACCAAAGGGAATGGAGGGTGACTTGGCATGTGTGCTATGCCCTACCCTGCGCCACAGTCTGGCAAAGTGGATCCTAGTATTTCTGGAATTTGCCTCTTCTCTTTGGGGAGATAGGTAATGGCTGGCCTGCACTTGGCTCCAGTTTAGTAACCCTAAGTCTTTAGTCTGTGAGTTGAAATGGAAGCCACGATTGCAGAAGGCAGCAAGGATGCATGTTGTCACCTCGAGGCTACTTGGGCAGTCCTGCCCACCCCTCAGGGTAGGGCACATCTCCATGCCCAGAGATGACCTGTGGCGGGTGCTCTGGACATCTTGTCCAAGCGATCTGGCACCTGCTTCCGCCTTGACAAGGAAAGGTGTCTTTTTGCTTTGGGAGCTCTGAGGTGTGTGTTTCTTGGGCGTGCTCTTGTACGTGCCTGTTCTGGGACAGATTTTGGAGAGACAGCCTGTAGTTCAGAGGGCCACCCATAGTAGTCACACTTAGACACGGAAGTGTCCTGTGGGTGTGTATGCTCTCCTTTTTCTATTTTTTGTTAAATTGCTGTCACTGGTAGGACCTGGATTAACTGGGTTAGAGTGGTACCCTTGTACATGCCTCTGGTAACAGGATTGTGCTTAGGTTTTCAATTCCTGCTGCAATTAACTAGAGGCATCATAATTGCACGTGGTCTTGGGGGACAGTGGATCTGAGCATGGCCATTCTTGGCTGCCAGAATAGACATTTTCTGGTGTTAGACACATGGTCACACGTTTTCTGATTTCTAACGATTCCCTCTCTTCATCTGCTTCTGATACCTTTCACTCTGACCCCCTTGCTCCTCCCTGTGGTTCCTGTGCCTGCCCAGATGAGCTCTATGCCCAGAAACTGAAGTACAAGGCCATTAGCGAGGAACTGGACCACGCCCTCAATGACATGACTTCTATGTAACTATCTGACAGCAGAGTGGGGTTGGGCTTTTGGCTTGGGGTGGGTGGGGATGCAGGCTGTGCTTAACGTGCTTTGGTTTTGTCCGTTGGAAACTAGAATCTTTACACTTGTTTTTAAAACATTGGTGCTGGTTACTTGTTTGGCAAAAGCTGATGAGGCATTTAAGCTTGGATGAGTGATAGATTCCTGATCTACATATAATTTTTATACAGTCTTTACATTGTGACCTTTCTTACTTGTTTCTCAAGTGTAGACTTCTCAGGAGGGACACTGATAAGTGGAGAATCCATACAACTAAGAAAATGGGGCCATAGAGTGAGTGACTTGAGCCCTAACACGTCATAACAAAATTCAGACCCTCCTGAGTTTATTGGATTTGGAGCGTTCAGGGGAAACACTCAAGATGGGAAATAAATGAAACCGAGTCCCAGAAGTAAGCCAAGTTGTAAACAGCACCAAACGAAAGTTGCTGGAGACTTCATCTGTTTGCTGTGGATCACTGATCCTTGATACTAATCTACTTCTTCTTCCCACTAACCCTGAAAAGAAGCCAAATATTGCAGGCTACAGTATCTGGCTCTCTTTTATCATTCCTGCTACCACTTTTTGTTCCTCTTCCTTTGTCCCACATTGCTATCAAGATCGATGCTAGTCCTCACCTGGAGTATCCTTACTTTTTCATACAGATGACTCACCGTTTCTGCTCTGTTCTGGATCTGCCCCTTTCCTGGGGGAAAACTGCCCCACTCGCTCTGGATTCCATGTGGGTCAGCCTGGTGGTCCCCAAGGCATTAGGGTGGGGCCACAAGGCAACTTATGTATTCTTTTCCATCTCTGCCCCACATTAAAATGCCAAGCTGCCGGAAGCCCTGTACCACCCTGCATCTGTGTCATTGACAAAGCTGTTGCTATATCGCTAAGAAGGACCCTTGGGCGCGCGGTGTGGGGACAGCTATCATAGGTCCCCCTCCTCTGACTTATGTATAATCAAAGCCACTTTGTGTGTGTCTGGTTTTTTGGTTTTTGGTTTTTTTTCTTGACATTTAAACTTGGCTGGGGCTTGGCGGGAGGCCAGGAGCATATAACTCAGTGGTAGAGCAGCGGTTTGCGATGTTCAAGGCCCTGGGTTCCAACCCAAGTATCAGCAAAAAAACAAGTTTGTTAAGCTTGGCTGATTGGAGTCTTATCAGAGCGCTAGACTAGTAGAGATCCTTTGGAATAAGAATTCTAGTGTTGGGCTGGGGATTTAGCTCAGTGGTTCCGCTGCCTGCCTCACAAGCACAAGGACCCGAGTTTGATCAACGGTACCAAGAAAAGAAATTCTAGTGTTGGCTCAGGCTGAATGAGACAGTCAATATCTTCCACTACCAGCCTCGTAAGTTTTCTCCCTGGAGTGTTCACACTCTCGCAGGTCCTCCTCTGATACATTCAGGTCTCAGGAGACCGTCGTAATACCAGATATTCAGACAATGCACTCTCAGAACACTTGAGTGGACCCATGGATATCACAGTTGAAACTGACTGTATCATCCCAAGGCACAGAGAAGGAGTCAGTGGAATTCTCAACAGTTTAAACCTTTCTTACAAATTTGAGGCTTGCCTTCATTTGTCTGCTAGCATGTGCTGGTGGGACATAAGACAAGTGATAAATTACTTACTGGAAAAGCTAAATCAATCTTATATTTGTCAGATAATATGCTTATACAGGTAATGATTTTTTATATACATAAATTACTAGTAAAATTACCTCTGATTCATATTTTTTGGAATTAAATATCAATGTGCTAGAAACTCCTGTTCCAAACTGGTGGTGTATGTGGCACCATGGTGCCACACATCTGTAACCTGGGAGGGAGGCTGAGGCTGGGGGCTTGTAAGTTTGTGCCCAGCCTGGCAATTTAGCAACTTCACAAAACCCTGTCCCCAAAAATAAAAAGGATGGGGGACGTGGGTCAGTGCAGAGACCCTGGATCCAACCCTTAGTACCACAAAAAAGCAGGGGAAAGACTCCTGTTGCATTTTACACCGTGGGGATAGTTCGTTCTGGATAGCATAGATGATCCCTTGTACTGATCTTAAGTATTCTCGCTTTCCTTTTAAATAGATACAGCCAAGTGGAATTGTTCCCTAATCTGAAACTAAATCTCATATCAAATCAGATGCCTTTCTACCAGTACCATTTGTTGCATGCACATAGCCTTTAAGATGAAGGTGCAGATTGATTTATTGAGCTGATACACAATATATTGGTGTTTTCTGTATGTAGAGTGTTAACATGGGAACAGAAACAAAGATGGAGGCTCCATTCTTCCCAGTTGCTCAGAGTCTAGTAAGAGAAGAACGTGCATAGAGCTAAAGCACGTGTGTGGTGAGTGCTGCAGATAATAGTGTGTGTGGAGTTCAGGAGGGAGAGGCTAGTGGGAATGACTCGTGAAAGAAGACACTTAATAAACGTGGAAACTTGGCATCCTTCCTAGCTACTCGGGAAGCTGAGGCAGAAGGGTTCAAAACTCAAGGCCAGCCTGGGCAGTGTAGTGAGGCCTGTCTCAACAGGCTAGGGATACAGTTCAGTGGGAAACACTCGCCTGCGATGTGTGAGCCTCTCAATACTGAATTCAATCCTCCGTGCTGCCCCAAAATAAAAACTTCCCGCTTCATTTTCTTGGGTTTCAAAAGATTGGATTTTTGATGAGCAGAATTCAGTTGAGAAAAAGAAAACACCATGTGGGTCAAACAAAATATATGAACTGTCCAAAAATATACATATCAGTCGAGGGATAGTAGATATTGAGCGTTCTGTTAAAGAGGAACCATAATAAAGGCATCCGTGGGAATGGGAGGGGCACAACGGCTATAAAGGCAGAGTTGAGAGGACAGGACGGTGTGTTCTGCAATTGAGCTGGTTGGTTTTAATTTTATTTGGTAAGCTCATTGGTGCCATTGGGAAGTTTGAAACAGCGAGCCTTATGATGTGGGTGCCACAGAAGAAGCGTGAATCTGGTGGCTAAGTTACGGTTGCATTGGAGACGTAGTAAACGAGCAGAGTGATGGGCACACGTGATGATGGCTCCAGGGTCCGGGCACTGGAGAACCACTCTTACCGGTGTTTGGGTATTTGCCCACAATACTGTTTTCATCAACTTTTTGTTTGAGAAAGGATCTCACTGAAGTGCAGGTGTTTTTCTTAATGTACACTAAAATGTATTTACTTATTTTTGCAGTACTGGGGGTTGACCCCGGGACCTTGGGCATGCTGGGCAAGTGCTCTTCCATTGAGCCACATCCCGGCTCCTATTTTTTTTAACTTCCCTGATTTTACCACCTAAATACACAGTGTCCTGTGGACTGTACACATACACAGCCACCTGTGTCCCAATGGGTTATTGTAGTTTTCTAGGAGAGAATAATTTAAATTCTGAACCAAAACAGTGGTAAAGGGAAGTGCACTGGAGATGGGCATTTTGAAGTGACTTGATTTGAGACCGGGAAGATGTTGGTGCTCGAGAGGTGGGGAGGTCACATGACCCGTGGTGTTGCACGGCCTCTGCGTAGTGTTTCCTCCCCTTACCTTCTCCTGGTCGGATCGCTGCTCTGTGGAATTGTTCTGTCATTGATTGGACATGACTGAAGAGAACATCGGACCCAGTGGGTTCTCTGCATTGCTTGTTCTGCCCTGTTTTGTTACTTTCGGGAAACCTAGAACTTTAATGAGCTAGTATTTCGTTCTGAGTTTTTAGTCATTAGAGACAGCCAAGTTAAAGGTGAGAAAATGACCACATTGGTCTTTGTGACCTTGTGCAATTTTTAGGAAAGTCTAAATTCTAGGATTTATTTAGTCAGGCAATAAAATGCTCCTACTTCTCTCTGCCTTTTTATTGCTTCCCCAAATGGAATAAAGCCCTCACTGACCAAGCTGTTTTGAGACCTGATACTGCCCTTCTTTCCCCAAACAGGAGTGGTAATCACGCACACTAGCTTGGGTATAGACGAGATGTACATGGAGTAATAATAAATCAGGGTTGAGAGATGAGAGTTCCAGGTTTTTTTGTTGTTGTTGTTGCTGTTGTTTTTTTGTTTTGTTTTTAAGTTTTTTAATGGTACTGGGGGTCGAACTTGGGACCTTGCACTTGCAAGGCCCGAGGTGGCACCACTGAGCTAAATCCCCCGCCCATGAGGTCCAAGTTTGAATGCCTGTTCTTTATTAAGAATGCCCCAGGGGCCGGGTGTGGTGGCTCATGCCTGTAATCCCAGCACTTGGGAGGCTGAGGCAGGAGGATCACTCTGAGTTTGAGACCAGCCTGGACTACATAGTGAGTTCCAGGTCAGTCTCAACTACATAGTAAGACCCTGTCTCAAAAAACC